TATTAAGAACAAAGGTTGGGACCTGGGACTCGAACCCAGATCCTTATGCATATTTCCACCCCGACGCTACCATCTGAGCTACGCGCTTCAGTTGTACATGTAATAATAATAATACATAATATATCAAACACGATGGTTAGATAAGAAAAACGCGCGGAATTTCAAACTGCCCAACCAAAGGATGACACGCATCATCGTCTACCTCCCATCCGTCGTTTTTGGTAAACTGACTTTTACCTACAGACACTGGCCGTAGGTACATCCATGTCCATCTCCAAAATCGCGTGCGTTCAAGATAAATGGCCAAGGCTGGTACCATTCTACTCGTTTCAACCTCACGAGTCTCCTGGTACCAAAATCATTACCCAATTTTGCCTATCCTGCAAAGCCCTAATCAAGAACATAAAATCCTGGTTATGGCAATTTCACGTACAAGCGTTAGAAATACAATTAAATGGTATCAAAAGCTTGCAAACTCAAAGACAAACACAAATATATCATTAAAATATGCAATGGATGAGTGAATCAATGAAACTGAATTCGAATTTGGAAGCATGTCGTGATACCTATATCTTGCAATTCTAGACGTGAAAAGGCTTGAATCTGATTAGAAAATGCTCCTGGAACGTCCAACAACCTCTTGGCAATGTGAGAGAGGCACGATCTGGTCTCTAATATGGAAATTGGATTACCACTTTTCTTGAATTTTTTTGAGTTTTGTTCTCTCTTTGCACGACTGCTTCTAACCTCTATATTCCTTGGCTTGCTTCTATATATGTAGCACAACTTATTAGGTCAACAAAAACGACCTCAATCTTGCTCATCATGGAGATTTGATTTGCTCTTTCAATGCATAGGATTCCTTTCCAATTTTTCTCAAATCCAATATTTTTCAAACCAAATTGCCTTTGCACGAGTTGAACTTCAATTGACAGCATATGAGATCTTTTTTCAATGCACAAATCATCCCTAAAATACAATATATGATTTATTAGGATTTATTTGATTTTATTTGAGTTTTAAATGAATAAAAATCAAAATAAATTAAATAAATGAATAAATAAAGCATGGAGGGTCCCATAGGTCATGGACTATGTTAGAAATGATATACAAGCATAAAAAGTTGGGCCCATTTAGCAAAAGATGCAAATTTGAACATGTTTGACTTTTGGCAATTTTGCAAAAAAGGTCAACTTGACCAATGCATAACTCTCTCAATTTTGACCCTAGAGGGGTGTTCTTGGACTTTTTAGAAAGCTTAGGATGTCCTATAAGCAACCCTTTTTGTCTCATCTTAATTGAGTCTTCCATGTTTATGTATGAATCCTTGACCCAAAAGGTGTTTTTGTTGACTTTTCAAAATGACCTATAATGTCAAAATTCATATCTTTTTGTGAGTGCATATTTTGAACTTGGGAGATGAAGATGAATTGTAGGGAATTGCATTCTCTTCAAAATGAGATTTGGATGGGTCATTTCTGATAAAATATGAGAAAGTTATGCTTGGTCAAAGTTGAGTTGACTTTTCCTACAAAACCCTAATTTAGCAACTTTTGGGTTTTGATGAATTGTGAGCAATCCTTGATGAATCATGATCAACCATTGATCAAATGATGGATAATACTTAAAAATTAGGATGTTGACCAAAAATATTGAAGTTTGAATGTATGTTGGTCCCAGTTGACTCTTGACCTAGCATAGTCGATTTCTAGGTATTTGATCAATTGACTGAGCAAACTTCCTCTGCAAGGCTTGAAACTTGACATGGATGATATTGAGAACATATTAGGACAATGGTGAGCATTTGGGATCCTTTGGACTCAAGCATCTTGATGCAAAATGAAACCCTAATTTGAAGTAGACTGCCTTAGGAGAGAGTTTGTCTGGTCAACTTTTGGACTCCCTTGAGCAATTTGAGGACCTCACTTGATATGTATTGAGAAATATGGGAGGGGAAATTTTGGGGTACAACACACGCAAACTTTCTTGAGTTGGTTTTTAGGTCTTGCTCCTATTTTCCCAATTTGGGTTGGAAGGCCTTTGTCCTAATAAGAAAGCTTAGATCTCTTAAAGGTTGGAACACACAATTTTTTTAATAATTTGGACTTCCAAATTGAGTCTTGTAGAGTTGTGATCGGTAATATGGACTTGCAGACCGAGCAGAGGGCCTTATCTGATAAGGAATTTGGAACTAGGTCTAAAAACACCCTTTATTTATGGGTTTTTCTTAAGGTGGAGGATTTCCAACTGTCTCAAAGATCGAGAGTTCGTTGACTCAAGGAAGGATATGTTAATCCAAGTTTTTTTTCATGCTTCAGTTAAGAGTAGATGAAGGAATTCGATCTTAACTCTCAAGGTAGGAAATAATTAGATTTAAGGGGTTGTTGAGATTCATCAGGAAGTCTTTAATTATTTCTATGAGCGATTTAAGGAGATGATGGTTGACCGACCTCGACATGACAAGGTGCCTTTTCGATCCATCTCTTTGGAAGATAATTTGACCTTAACCTACCCTTTCCTCCTTGAGGAGCTTGCTAGAGTTGTGTCTCAATGTGATGGGAACAAATGTCCTGGGCCTGATGGGATTAACTTCTCTTTTTTCAAAAGATTTTGGAATTTGATGATGCTAGAGGTAGGAACTATGTTTTCCAAGTTTCATCGTTTTGAATCGCTACCTCGTAGTTTTGCCTCCAATTTTCTTACTCGTATCCCTAAGATTAAAAAATTCATCTCTGCAGAGAGATTTTCACCCTATTTCTCTAGTAGAATCTCTTTATAATGGTAGCCAAAGTTATCGCCGGGAAATTTGGTGTGGTTAAGGATAAGTTAATTTCTCCTAACTAATCAGCCTTCTTAGAAGGGAGAATGGTGGTTAATGGAGTGCTGGTTGTTAATAAGGCGATTGATTTTGCAAAGTGTTCTAGGAAGGCTCGTCTCATCGTTAAAGTTGACTTTGAGAAAACATATTATTAGTTCAGCTTGAGCTTTCTAGAATATATGTTTCTTAAATATGGCTTCAATGATAAGTGAAAGTCCTAGATTAAAGCATGTATGTCCTCTGGTATCCTAGTTGTATTGGTCAATGGCTCCCCAACTTAAGAGATTAAGATCCAAAGAGGGTTGAAACAGGGGGAGCATCTATAGCTCATTTCCTCCTTTTCCTTATGGCATGAGATTTTAGTGGTTTAGTTAGGAGGGCAACTGAGTTATCGCTTCTCTCTGAGTTTATAGTTAGTACATCCAATTTGTAAATCTCTCATCTCCAGTATGAGTTTATAGTTAGTACATCTAATTTGTAAATATCTCATTTCCAGTATGCAGATGATACCTTATTCTTGGTAGATACATCAATGGAGAATTTATGGGTCATTAAAGCTATCTTAAAGAGTTTTTAAGCTAGTTTTAGGTCGTGGGGTTAGTTTTATTAGTTTGATTGGGATTAATGTTGATCCCTCTTTCTTAAAGGCAGTTGAGAGTTTTCTTCATTGCAAGATTGATTCCCTTCTATTCAAATATCTAGGGTTGTCAGTAGGAGCCAACCCTCAGCTAGAATTTACTCGGGGACCTTTAGTTAATATGGTGCAAAAATGACTTCTTTCTTAGAGTCATAGGCATGCCAGGCTTGAGGGGATAGTTACTTTTCTTAATTATGTTTTGAATGCTTTTCATGTTTTCTTCCTTTCTGTCGTAAAGATGCCTCAAATTGTTTGGAAGAAGTTAGTCAAGATTCAGAGGAGATTCTTTTATGGTGGTGTGAAGGTGAGGCCAAGATTTCTTCGATGAAATAGTCTGATGTTAAGTCTAAGAAGAATGGGGGCTTGTGTGTGAGAGATCTCTATTTGGTTAATGTAGCTCTCTTAGCCAAATGGATATGAATGATCTTATTAGGTGGAGTAAAATATGGATATTGTAGCTCTCTTAGACGTTATATCCCCACGAACGATGACATTGTTCCGTTATGAAATAAAAAATAGTTGGCCCATTGTTTTGTTATGGAACCAAAAATAGTCGACCAATTATTTTGTTATGGAACCAAAAATAGTTGACGATGGAGCGAAATAAAATTCAGATGTGGTGGAGTGTGTTTCTGATGCGGCAGAGCGAGGGCTACTCTACAAGGTTTGCAAACGCTCAAGTCATTTAATGGATAAGAAATAGTTTGAGTGTGAGAATGAATAGAATATTTGAATCTGACCTATGCAAAGTTTTACATAGTCTATAGACAATTAGAACTACTTGCGATTAATCCAACAATTTACGTGGATCACAATCCAATTAAATCTAACGATAGAAAGTTTGCATGAGGTCGAAATTACATGTTTCATGCTTGAGCAAAGTCACACTTGTTCCTCGTGGTGCTTGTAACTAGGCCTTTATGTGCATGTCTTGTGAGCGGTCCAAAGCAATAAAAACAAAAGCAAAGGTGGCAACGCCATATTACAAGATTTATTTCAATTGAAGATTTAATATAAGAGAATATTTAGAGGACAAGAAGTGTTTTTCTTACATAGGCGCTTTTCAAACTCACATTCACTCCATATGGTTGGAGGCTAATTGAATATTAGCTCTAAATCAAAAACTAACGAATGTTACAATAGTTTGGACGGATGAATTTCACATTACTAAGCAGGCCATTCAAAATTAGGCACTTTGAATTGAGCTTCATTGAATCACCTTTTAAGTTTCCACAAGAGTAAGATATGAATTGTAAATTTGTTTTAACAAATTGGAATTATTAACCTTCAATCGCACATAGTAAGATCATATTTACAAGCATTTATTTATATACAGAAAATATCTATTAACATTTCAACGGTTTGATATTGAACAACAGGTCAACAATCAACACTTAACTGAAGTAACAGAGGAGAAAACAAACAGCTCAAGAATCGGGCATAATTCGAAAAAGAACTTACTATAATCTTGGAATCAGTCTTCTAATAGCTGAAATGAATGTAGGAAAATGTCCCGTGACGCAGAATATATGCAGAAGTATGCCATCAGTTTTTAACCTGAAATTTTCCATGCTAACTAACTTATATGCGTGAGCAACTTATTTATGAATTTTCAATCACTGAAATAATATGACATGAAAATTTTTGAAAGCAACATCGAATATATTTTCACCACTAAAAGAATGATATTTACTGGTTTCATTCGACAAAATTGTACTGAAATAATTCTAAGGTATTGATGATCATTTTACAATGTATCATGATTCTGAATGATTTCAAAATCTTACATTGTTCTTGAAATCGGACTCTGCAGATGGGATAAGCTCCTGGGCACCAGACTTAGATTCTTGAACAGGTTTCCTGCAAGAGATAGACAACATAAAATCAGATATACTGAAGATTGAGGAGACACAGCGAAGCAAAATTTGAATCGAACAATATTTTGACCAAAAGGTTAGTGCATGCTTGGAAGCATAAAGGTTACCTTTCTGCTAAGAACGCTTGTGGATGAGACAAAGCTGAGCTCGAATCACGAGCAGCAGACTCCGAATCTTCTGATCCCGAGGGTTCACCTTCACTCATTCCCTGCAAATAATAACAACAAAAAACTCCTCAATTCCATTGCTCAAGTGACTTAAGTTATCAAAACACAATATGCCTCAAGAGTACAAACTCACAGTAGAAGTACTTTTCATCCATCCAGGAAATTTATCGGAAAGAAGGCTGATATATTGCTCCATCGCAACCTCTGGACTCATGTTCCCCAGCTTTTGCCAAGCATTCCTTGAACAACGTAATCAGTACTGTTGTTTATTCATAAAAAAGCAGCTCTCTCAACACAGTTATTATGACTAGCAACCAACCTATACCGTATAACTTCTACAGCTCGCCGGTATCTGTTGCTTACATTTATTCATCCAATTGGAGCATTTGAGTATATTACTTCTTAGCTATGAAGCACAGACCCAGGACACGACATTGACAGTGACATATCGACACCGGTAATAACACGCACACAGACACGTTTTTTTCCAAAGATGTAGAGGTGTCGGTGCTACATAGCTTCATATGGAATAGCAATCAAATACATGAGAACAACCTTTGTTAGCATCATAGCCTAATTTCTATTTATGGATCAGTATATTTGATTCAGTTTTGTGCTATGCACTTTCATGTAGCGATTCAAATTTACCCCTAACCCTTAAGAACAAATTTTCATCATCTTTTTGTGCCTAAACAAAATTTGATAGTGATTGGATTGGAGCAATTTCTACACGTACAACTTACTAATAAAGGGGTCCCTATAGACAATCTTAAGGTGGGTCCTTCCTTAATATGACTAAATGATAACTCTATTGTCTATGAAATTTGGTAAAAGTTGCACGGAAGAACATGATTAAATGGGTGTTGGAAAGACTTATTTGAGCTTATCTAATGATATAACACTTAAGTGAATGAAAAAACTAGTAAAAATACCTTAAAATATCTTCATAAGTTATTCTCAACTTATTTCTATAAATTTGATCAAGTAGCTTATTTTAGTAGGTGTTTTGAGCTTATGCAGAATTGACTTTCATTTCCTACTCTAATCTAGAATCACCTAACACAGTTTTCATACAAAAAGGGCTCTATTGAGTTACTTAAGAAACCTCATTTCCTATTCAATTGTAGAAACAACTTATTCATTTGATAGAGACAGAGTACGAAAGTAAGCTGCATTAATTTTATTTTTAAAATATAGTATCTGGCCCCGCAATAGACTAGCTCAAGAGGATCAATCTCACCGTCCACTTGTGAAACTCCATTTAAAGTCAGAGAAAACTTTGCATGAAATAATCCAACAGAGGAATAGTAATAGAAAACTTTGTATGAAATAATCCAACAGAGGAATTGTTAACACCTAGCAGAATTCAAACCTGAGAGACTTTGAGATCTTGAGAGAACCACACTCTCGGAACCCAAGTCATCACCAACAACAACATGCCAATGTAACCGGGTAAAGAGTTACTTTTACAAAGACATTTGACATAAACTTCACCATTTACTTATGAATTTTCTGTAATTATCCTAGTTGTGTGACAACATTTTAGTACTAACTAAATAAACAGCATTACTATATTGAAAATCAACATAGTCCAAAACAACAGAACGCACCCAAAGAACAAGACATTGCAAATTAGTTACGCAATTGAACAAACAAAACATAAATTTCAGAAGAAAAAGAAAAGTCGATACCATTTAGCACGTGCGGAGAGTTTAAGCGGCATTGGTTGAGGTTCACGGCAAGGTCCTTCCATAGCAACTCTCTCAAGTCCATATAACTCCATCTCCAAATCATCAACACATTTACCAATATACCCTTTCTCAGCAACAAAGTTTGTAGCCGACATAAATGTCTTTTCCACCTCACTCCTCTCAATCCCTTCCCATTCCCAATCCTCATCATCTTCCTCTTCCTCTTCCTCTCCCTCCTTCTTCTCACCGGAATCATCTCCGATGGTTTCTTCCACACACTCAATGCTCCGTTCAGTAGAATCGCCACTTTTCACTACGGTTTCCTGCAAATATTCAACAACATCAGAATCTGTTTCCACCTTAGCAACTCCTATATCGCCGTGATCAGTTTCTTCGTCAACGTTCGACGTTGTCGGTGGCAACTCAACACCAACTTCGGAATCGGAATTGACAATAGCGTCTCTGATGGTAGGTTCGGTTTCTAAATTTGTTGTTGTAACATGAACCGGTTTAACAAAACGAACCCGGCTCTTACTCTGACGTGACTGAACCGCCAACCGTTGAAGAACCGGTTGTTCCTGAACATGATGTTTTGTTGTTGTGTTATTGTCGGTGGTTGCCGAGGAAACAAGTTTTGCAACGATGAAGAAAATAACAAGTCCAACCGTTACAGTGAATAAAAGATGAGTTGCAGTAACAAGGTCCATAATTAATTGGTAAGGAAAATGTTTGGGACGATGAAGTGAGAAGAAATATTTAAAGTGAGTTAGTTGGGAGAGAAGTGAGAGAATTTAGGATGGAAGTGATAAGAAGAAAGGAACTGTTGTAACGGAGACGAGAAAATTGAGGAAAAGGAAGTAAAGTATATTCTCAACCATTTTGAGCTTTATGCTCTCTGCAACTGTTACGCACATTTTTTATTTTTTTCTTCTTTTTACTTTATCACTTTTCTATGTAAACTGTGTATTTCGATTTTTTTTAAATGTATTCTAAATGTTTATTATTATATTTATATTAATTATATCTTTTATTCTGTTTATTTATGTTATTACTTATAATTAAATAATTTTAATTTTATTATTATAAATTTTTTTTTTTTGTCTTTTCATTTTAATTCTTGGAGAAATGAAATTCTATTAATCAAACATTTTTAAATTAAAATATGAACACTAATCAAATATTTTTCTATTTAGAAATCGAATTATTTTTAAAATTATATATAATTAAAATAAAATATAGATCATATTGACTAGTATTTTGAAAACACTCTTTAAAAATATTTAATATAAAAATATTTAATATAAAATATTATTTATAAAAATATTATTTATAAAAATATTATTTATAAAAGTTAATAATTTTAAACTTTAATATATTAAATATATGTGTTTCTTAAAAAAATTATCACTTTAAATACTTAAAAAGTAGTTAGTATTTCCCATAAAAATTGCACTTCCAAATAAGAAATGGTATTATATTAGGATTAGGATTTGTTATTGTGATCCTGTTATATAGGAGGATAAAGGTGAATGAGTCACGGAGATAAAAGGTAGGTATGTTAGGCGGCTTATGTAACACTCATGACATGATATCATTAATGTATGTTATAGGGTTAATGGGTGTTATAATTAATATTTCTTTAGTCTAAAATAAGTGCTGTATTTGTAAAAGAACATTGTAAAATAAGTGTGGTTTTTAGTTTTCAATTCAATTTTAATTTTTATCTTTAAATTATATATTATAATTGATATTTTTAATTTATTATTATTTTTATTTTGTATTAATGATAATTTGAATACATCAATAACTAATTAGGATAATTTGATAAAATTATTATTCTCTCTTTCGTTTATTATATTTTTTTAATATGTTTGAAAGTGTTAGTATGATAAATATTTTGGGATGGAGAGAGTAGTATGTTTTTTTGTTATGATGATCAAAATTAATTTTTGAATTAATTAATTTTATATATAAACATATAAAAGTAAGATAATTAGTAAATTATGATGTAAAATCACATTCATATTCGAAATGTATTGTTCTGTTCTGGATTAAAAAATAAAGAGAGATGTGGAAGTTGTAGTGGAGGAGAGCTTCTAACGCGGCAGAGTGTAGGTGTATCTACAAGGTTAGCATTTCTAACGTTGAGTAGAGAATATTCAAATTGTGTTTGAAACTTGTTACTTGAAATGGTGTCATTTTCTATATATAGAGGAGAGGAATAACTGTCTCTCTATCTTTCAATCGTGTAATGTGGAGGACTGTTGGATGTGCTTGAGGCGTAATTCTCCTAGAGTAGGGTGTAGGACAGTTCAATGGTAAGGAGAAGACTCTAGAGGCATAACAATGTAGTCGGCCTAGAAGCTACGATTCGAAATGGGTTATCTCAAATTGGTCAGCTCGAGAGAGGTATGGTTGACCCATAATAGTTGCCCACAAGACTTACCGTGTGTTATCATCGATTTTCTACCACAATGAGCTCAATGTATGGAAGAGAAGGTCTAAGAAAAAACTAAGTAAAATCTGAAGGGTTAAAAAAGTATTTTGACATTACCCTTTCAACCCAAGAAGTTGAAGTTTCAAGCATAAGATAGAAGTGTGGACTTAGCATTTTCCTCAGGAGTGATTGTCTAAGGATTTCGATGACAAACGATGTAGTCAAGATTTTGACGGAAACTTTGGCATGCGTCTTCGACAGTAATGGATTGGGAGCGGAGAAAAGCAACATAATTGTTTTTTGGTCTTATCTGAAAGTACATGTGGAGACAAATCCAAGGGAAAATGCATGCAGCAAAGACGTGTCGACTTCTAAGGAGAAAGTCGTTGAAGATAGTTAATCTTACATTAGTATAAATAGGAGTTCTAGTGTTAGTATTCGAGGTGTCAACATCATTACGAAAACTCACAAACTCAAAGTATCCAAGTGTCAAGCGAGAAACGAGTCAGTTGAGCGAAATATATGATCATGAACACCATGTTCTTTACATTTTAAGCAAATTTTCTTTATTTTAACTTGCATTTTCCTGCATTTTTGTCTTTACCTTTTCGCCTTACTTTTTGCAAAGATTTTGACCAAGTCGAAATCCTTCATTTTCTACAAACTTGGCATTTTAACTTAGTAGAAATCAGAATAACTTTCATTTCATACCAAACACTCAAACAATGTCACAAGGATTCATGCAAGTAGCCATTTTGGAGGACTAGCTTGTTTACTAAATTTCACGGTAAACACCATGCACCATGGGTACCGGGGAGTCTTTAGTAACTGCGGTCGGCTTTCCAAGGATTCATCATCATTATTTTTAAAATTAAAACGTTTTAGAGTATGTAGAGGAAGTTGTGGGGGACAGAGGCATTTAATCCTTTCTTGTCACTGATTCGTTTTTACTTCTGCTTGTCAACATGTCATCCTAGGCATACAAGTTAGCGAAGGATTACCCTACCTAGGATATTTAAGTGTATCTTACCCTCGATTAGATTGAAAGGATGAGATATAGATTATTCTCGATTTTTTTCATATTGCTCAGCTTGAACCGTCAACCCTTGCACTAACCCTTCTTACAAAAGCCAGACATTGTTCTCTAGTTTTCCTCTTTTCCATGGTCACCTTTTATTCGTCCATTCTCATCGTATTATTCCTTTTCATTTAGTAATCTTAAATGTTTGCTCCTCTAACTAGTTTGATAGCAGCAAAAACAGTGGAAGATTACTCCTTGGTCAAACCAGAATATTTAGCCCACAAATCTGCTTTTGTTCAAGGGAAAGAAACATTATCTAGTCCTCCAAAAACCTGGGCTTCTTCCGATTGGGTTATTTTCCCAATTCTGGCCGAGAAAAGTATATGCCACCAGTTTGAATGGTGTTCTATTCCCTTTTTATTCCTGCATTTTTCGGAAGTTGGCGTTCAACTTCCACTAACCTCTTTTGAGAAGGGCATTCTGGATCATCTCTGCAGTTTCCCTTCACAACTTCATCCATATGCTTGGGGTTTTGTATGATTATTTCAGTACTGGTATAAATATGAGGAGAAAATGGGTTCAACTTCTTGAGACCTCTTTTTCCACCTTTTTGAAGTATGTCCCGCCTCAAAGGACGTTGTTGGTTGTGGGCTTGTTTCTCTATGTTGTGCCAACCAGATCTTCAAGGTCTACATCGATAGTTGGAAGTATTTCAAGAATGACTACTTCTTGGCTAAGTGTATATCTTCTCTTGCTTACAAGAAATTATGTGTTATCTCTCCTACTTCTGCCATGCAAGTAGGATGTATGGACTAGAAGCATAGATTTTGGTCTCCGGATTGTTTCTCTATAGCTCCTAAATATCATTGGGTCTCTTACGATGATCTAAATGCGGTTGATAAGGGTATGAAGGCGATTTTGCTCTCGTCTTCTGACGATTTGATACCCTGTATGAAAGTGATAAAAGTTACATTTGATTTCCGGTGTGTACAATACATCTTTAATCAAGGAATATCCATCATTCCTCTTCATGATCATGTCATACCCAAAATTTCCCCCATCAAATTCAATGGTCTTATTTTTTAAATTTTACTATTTCTAATAGTATTGTTCAACTTATTTATTTGGAATAGTTTTGTTTTAAGGGGTTTTAAAATAGACCATCAAAATCTGATGGTCCATTAAGGGTTTTTTAATTTATTTTAAATGGAAAGAGGGGTGTATTTGTTGCAAAGAAGGGTGTATGATTCTACATTTAAATTTTTTGGCCCATTAAAATTGCTTTTGTTTTTTGGATAAATAAGATAGGGGTGTATTGGGCTTAGCTTGCCTCACAACTAAGCCCATTTTGGCTTCATGTTCGTATGGTACAAAAAGGGGGGGTGTTCTTACTGAATTAAATGGCCCATTAAGTTTTGACCATTTTCAAATAATAAGAGGAGGGAGGTGCATTATTGTACATAAGGGGGTTTTCTCTTAAAATTAGATAACCCATAACGTGTTTGAAGGCCCATTAGATGCATGTGATCCAAAGTTAATTTCTGACTTTTTTGATCAATTACATAAATATTTTTTGTTTACACTTTTATTTAATATTATAATTATTTTTAGTTCTGTTATTGTTGTTTTTCTTAAATATTATTATTATTATTAATTATTATTAAATTATTATTAATTATTAATATTTTTATAGTTTATGTTTTATATTATCATAACGTTTGACCAAAGTCAAAATCAAGGGTTTTGAAACCCTAATTCCCCCACCTGCGCGCCCTGTATCCTAGTGATTTCCAAATCCAAAAATAGATATTGTACTGATTAAATCAAAAAATGTATCAAATCAATACAAACTAATGCAAATCAAATCGTATCAAAATTTATACAATTACAACAAAATCTTCTAAAAAAAGTTACAACATAATCAAATCAATCTCTAAATCTAACTTAAATCTACCATAATCTTCTCTAATCACCAATCTATAACAAACAATCAACATACAATTTCCTAATATACTAATCCCTACAAAACTATAAATAACCCTAAAATTTCTAAGACCGAGGAGGAGAAAAAAGGTGGTAATAGAAGAAGAAAAGAAGAAGAAGAAGAAGAAGAAGAAGGAGATAGAGACGAAGAAGCTCCTGAAACTCCCCTCTCTTCTAACCGATCTAGGGTTTCTGAACAGAAACCCTAAGATCCCCACTGTAGCATCGTCACCGTCTTCAAAACCTCATAATCGCTTCCGTCGTCA